ATTAAAGTGACAGAAAATGCATTGCCTATTTATTATATATATATATATATATATATATATATATATAGATAGATAGATAGATATAGATATATATATATAGATAGATAGATAGATATAGATATAGATATAGATATAGGGGGAATGAAAAAACCAAAACTACATTACCCAGAATGCCTGAAGCTGTTGAAAGGAAATGCCGTTTTGCAAAGAGGTTTAGCTCCAACAGCTGCAGTTTGAGCGAGGAATACAGGGGGAGGGCTAGGAGAGAGAGAGGGAGGTATGAGCGGCAGAGAGAGAGACCTGCTAATAATACTGCAATTGGACTGGGGCGGAGGGAAAGAAGCTGTCATGCCCAGAGCTCCCTCCCTGGAAAGCCTGCAAGAACAGCTGGGCTGCCTGAGAATGCCACGGGCATGAAAATGCTGGGAATGAGTTTCTTGCAAAGTTTGACCTGGTTGCCTTTCTGATGCTGCAGCAGAAACTGAAGCAGGGTTGTGTCCCCGCCACCGTCCAAGGGACTGATCCACGGGAGAGGCTGAAATACAATTCAGATACTGCCCCCCGATTGATTTCTTGCAAAAAGAGGAAGCTTGCAACAGCGGGGGAGAGGGGGGAGATCGCTTCTGCTTTGCTCACCTTCCTAGACATAAAGCAACCCCCCCCCCCACACACACGCGCATACAGGTCTGGCTAGAAAAGCCTAGCAAACGGATGCACGAAGAAGCTACTGTCCCGACACCAAGAAGCCTCCAGCAGCCGCAGCTCCGACGCGATCTGAGCCTGTGAATGACATTGGTCCCAAGGGGGGGGGGTGCATTGGTGAAAATGCAAAGTTCCCCTAAGGTGCAGGATGCTGTGAAGCGCTGAAGACAGAAGGATCCGGAAGCACAGACTGGGGGAAAAGGCTGTTTTCTCTCTCTGGTCACACACATGCGAAGGACACGCGCCCCATGCCTGCAGATGAGCCCCTGGGGGTGAGGGCGAGCCTGGTCCCCGGAGGCAGGCTGCCGAGACATCTGAGGACACAGGCGGCGTGACATGCGATCCACTGCAGCATCAAACTAAAAGCCCAGCGCTGGAAGAGGAGGAGGTGGGGTGGGGGGGGGGAAGCTGCGAAGCCACCGCCGAGCTCGTATCCTGCCGGCTTCGCATCCTTCCCCAGCCCAGGTGGCGGGGGAGTGGAGATGTCACGGGCGGCGATTGTTTGCTGCGGGCTGGGTCAGCGTGGCGGATCGTGACCTAGGGGGAGAGCAGCCAGGAAGCAGCCGCCACCACCAGGAACAGCAGAGAAACTTTGACAAAACTTCTACAGATCTCACAGCCGGCTCCTCCCCATCCCACAGCCAGGTGCGGAGCGGAGAGGTGCAAGGACTAAACCCAGGCGAGGTAGCCCCACTCCCCACACTTCGCGGAAAGCCCAGGGGGGGAGGAGACAGGGAGTCTGCTGGGCTGCCACCAGTTATGTTTCTGCAGTTGGAACCCACAGTGACTGAGGGAAGAAGGGAGAGCAAAGTTGAAACAGAAATCAGCGAAGTGGTGCAATAGAAAAGCTAAAATATCTCCTTGGGAACTGCTCATTTTATTCATTTCTCCTCCTATTGTATTTCTACAGGCAAAGCCGGGGGAATGTGATGCGTGACAAAGACCTGTGATTTATTATTTAAGCTATTACTTAAAAAAAAAAAATCAGCAACACCCCTCTCTCTGACATCTACAGAAGCCTCCAAATCAGAGATGTGGCTGATTTAACATTTTCCACCGTTAATTTTTTTTTTTAAATTACAGTACTATTTTTCTTTGCAAAGGGAAGTTATGAACAACTGCAAGTCCGGAAGTGAAAATCTACAGGGGCTGTGACAAGAAGTATTTTATTATTTATAGAGATGTGTCTATCAGCATTCTGCTTTTTCATCCAAAGAATAAAGGGAAATGCCAGCTTCGCTGATGTTTCATGGTGAACAGATGGCATTCAAAAAGAGGAAGGACTAAATATCTCATCTTTAAAAAAAGGAGATGATTATTTATTGAACTCAAGACTTTTTTTAATCCAAAGAATATATGAATGAAAGATTTCATCTGTCATTAACTGGAGAATAAGAAAAGGCCCCTTTGCTTCTGAAGTGCAGCTAAATCCATAAAAGCAGCAGCGATAATACTGACATTCAAATAAAGACGTTATATGATGAATTTTCTATCCTATGGATATCATTTTTGAGATTACAAACCAGGAAGATCTATATTTGATCTAGCACCATATCATTTCAATGCCTAATCTTCCCCAGGATTGCTGGAGTGTCCTAGGAATTGCACTGGTGTTGTATGCCATGGGCTGTATTCAGAGTATTAGCTGCAAATCCAAAGTTTTCCGGGAAAGTATTTCAGTGATTGAGGTGAAAGCCTCCATCGATCCTGTTCCCACCAGCATCGATGAGTCGTCCAGCGTGGTTCTGCGATACCGGACCCCTCACTTTCGAGCCTCTGCCCAGGTCTTGGTACCTCCTATCCCCAAGAAAGAGACCTGGATCGTGGGATGGATTCAAGCATGTAGCCATATGGAGTTTTACAACCACTACGGAGAGCAGGGAATGTAAGTATTTCCAGTGAGGGAGAGCGTGTGTGTGTGTGCGTGTGTTGCAGTAGGGGAAGCACCATTTAACCCATTTGATTTACCTTCTCTAATATTAAAACTGTACACTTCTTTAAAAAAAAAAGAGATAAGGGCTTGATCTTGCCCCCTTAAAGGCATTGGGTGTTTTTCCATTGACGCCCAGGGGAACAAAATCAGGCTCTAAAACAGAAACGCTTGGTTTGGTAGCCATCCAAATGCAATACCATTTATACAGAGAGTGGTCCGAGGGTTCCAGCAACACTGTAAAACCTGAAAGCAGAAGTCACCCCGCCACGAGATTGCGGAGAAGACAAGGGTGTTGCTTTTCATATGATAAGGGAGTCCCTTCCATGCCAGCTCTTCGCCGCTGCCCCCTTTTTTAAAAAAAAAAGTGCTTTCTGACAAATCAGAATGCAAACAAATGCCGACACTTGCAGCGCTCTGCTGTTGTAAACAAGTTGGGTTGCTATTCCTGCAATGTGCTATCAGCAGGGCTGAGGGCTTGACATGACACCAGCCATGAATGGAAGGCAGCATTAGGGGGCTGAATTCTGTTTGCTTTGCTCATTGCAACAGGCTGCCTGCCTGGGTGAGGCAAGCAGGATTTGGCTGCAAGAGTGATGGGTTAACCCTCTGCAGCACCCTGGGGCTGCGGTTAAAAATGTACATCCCCATCCACACCATGTAAGAACAGGAAGTGAAAAGACCAGGGGGAAAAAACACCACACCTCTCAACCTCCAAATTGTGATGTAAGTGGAAATGCAGCTCCATCTATATATATATAAATAACTAACTATTACACACCCACACCCACACCGAATAGCAAGTGTGTGGCTCATGGGTAAAACTAGTAGAAGACTCATGGTGCAGCGGAAGTGGTTTGCCCAGCCAGCAGTACAAGAGCCTGACGTTGGAACATAGCGTAGGCTGGGGGAGGCAGGTGGCTTGGTGACTGGACGCACTGATGCTGCCCAGTCTCCAGCCGAAGATGGGATGAAAAGGTCAGGCTTAAGCAGCCTTCCTGCTTGCTAATTCAGCAAGCACCGCGTAAGGGAAATGCTTGCCTAGCTAGGGGAAAGACAGGCCAACTACAAAATAAAAGGTGGGGAGGAGGGAAGAGAAGGGGGACAGAGGATAGAACTAGAGAGCAGATGAACCTAACATATTGCCTTCCCAAAAGGTCCAACTGCCTCTCTGCTGTACTCCGCCTTCCAGTGCCTCTCCCCTCCAGGAGCACTGCAGGACCCAGAGAGGGCAAGTTTATATACAGTATTTGCCCAGCCTAATGACATGAGTTTGACATTCCAGGCATGAAGTGAATATGTGCCTGACAGGCCCAGCGCCCCAGGGGAGCAGATTGCCAAGGAGCAACAGTTCCCACTTTGTCCCCATTTCCTTTCTCAGCTCATTGTTGGTGAGGGGGAGCTTTCTGCTTGAGCACATTGGCAACACCAAATATTGATAGAGTTAGGTTGGATGGGGAAGGGGGGAAGATTTTACTGATTCTAAAGCACACACAGTGGGCTGAGCCCTGGAAGGTTGGGCTCACTGTCTGCTCTTTAAAATGGGGTTCTGCAGGGTAGGGCCCAGCAACAAGAAATTAGGGCTGGGGGGTTTCAAAGCTGAAACAAATTGGGTGCCTAACTCCATAGCCTCATTTGACAATCAGCCTAGATGATCAGGTGCGAAGGAAAACACAAAAATCCACTGGTGTATAAATATAGGTGGGTATTCAGTAAAACAAAACTAACAGGGCAGTTGTCCTATACCCAACTGTCACTCACATGCGGAGAGCTGGGGCAAGTCACTTTGTCTCTGTGCCTCAGTTTCCTCATCTGTACATTGAGGCCAATGATGTTGACCTTCCTTTCTAAAATGCTGTGATAGATGTAGAATAAAAGTTCTGTATAAGAGCTAAGTATTATCAGAGCAGCTGGAAATAAGCTCATATACAGAGGAACAATGAACTATAATTCAGTAAACAATGAAAATTTAGGGATGAAAATATCATTGCATGTGTGCAAAGAGGTGCTTTCCTCTGGGGTCAGCCATATTTAGCTGATTTTGTACATTACGAAAACAGGATTAAAAGTTTGTTGGCCTCTCCATACCTTTTCTTTAGAAAGTTGCCCCCACACCTGCCACATGATAAAGCTATAAAAAGGGCATTTGGGGAGAAAGACCTCTTACTGCCATTGGACTGCAAGAGCTTTTTACCAATGGAAATCTGGTTGAAAGAATGGGCCAGGTTGTCAGCTGGTGTACATCAGCAGAGTTCCATTGCTGGAGTTTTACAGCAGTGGAGAATTTGGCCCAAGGAACACTCCCTCTTAAATAGGAACATTTAAAAAAAAATCACTGTTGGAACAGACCATTAAAACAGGCTCTAATAACTCTGAATACAAAAATTAATGTCCATGCCCTGAATGAAGTCTGATGGCACGGGAAGGATTCAGGTTGAGAATGGGAGCCTCATCTTTGCACCAGGTTTTGAAGCACCTACACACTGCCCATTGCACTGAAGAAGGCAGGCATGGCTGGGGAACGCAGACTGAGCTGTGTGTACCCCTCAGTACTAGATGGAGGAGAGATACAGAGGCAATCTGTCAGACACACGCTTGTTTAAAAGGATGTCTGCAGCTCGGGGATTAGGTGCCAAGTTTTTAGGTTACACACACACACACACACACACACACGCTTACTTTAGAAAAACCTAATGCTAAGAGAAATGTCATTGACTTAAAAAGTCACTGAACGCTTCCTTGGCCATGAAGACTTCCCCCTGCAGTGTCATGAGCCGAAAGCAAACAGCAGAGCAATAG